GCTGGCTTCTATACATTTGTGAGGCATTTTCCTAAGATAAATTTCTCTTTCTCTCTCTCTAAGCTTTGCTGTTTTTGTTTCTCTAGAGGACCCAGTCTAACACACCAGCCAAGGCCGTCTCTTGTCCCAGGGGCAGGAGGCCTGGCAGAACCTCAGAGCAGCTCCAGGATTCTCCTTCTCCAGACCTGCACTCCTGTCTGGCTCACCAGGCCTTCTGTTTGCTGGGTGTGCTCCCCAGAGCCTGCCCCTCACCCCACATGTGGGCCCCCCTTTCATACTGCAAAACAGTGGCAAGCGTGCATGCTTCTCCAGCTCTGCGTTTCAGTTCTTCAGCTATAAGATGGAGATGACCCCCCACCTAGCAAGGCTTTGGCAGAGGCTGGACAAGCACGGACCTGAGGCACCCACTGAGGGCCTGGCCCTTGGAGCAGCTGGACTGCAGCTTCGGTCAACCATTCTGATGACACAGTGACGGTGGCCATGGCCGCTGGCCAGAATCTGTCCATCTACATGCTGGGCCTCCACCACAGCATCCCAGGCCCCAGAAATATCGCCCTCACAGGCCTGTAACAACATGCCTCGCAAACCCTGGGCCTGGCCTGTCTGGCTCAGATGGGAGCCTTGGAGCCAGGATCTTTGAAGAGAGTCAACTCCTATAATGCCCACCCAAGTGAGGAACTCCAGCCCAGACACCACCCTCCATTCTCCATAGCATCTGTACCAGATTCTGAATCTAATCTGGTGTCCTCACTGCCTTGGTAGGTAAAAGCTATCCTTACTCCATGTGGTGCAGTGGATCACTTTCATATGGCTTTTCTTACCATGGTTTGTAACTTCCACCAAATGACTGGGTGGGACTATGCATAGAAGGTGCCTGCAGCCCACCAAGGAGAGTGGACAGCTTGCTAATGATGCAAATAAGGCACGTGGCACCCTTGTGGGGGTGGGACCATGCAAGTAAGGCGTATGGAACCCTAATGAAGGGATTGGTCAGTTGTGCCATCCCGCTAGGCTTAAAATGAGCCACCTCAGAGGTAGAAAGAGGGGACCTCACTACCACCAAGAAGAAGAGAAAGGAATGGAGTGTGTCCCTGGGGCTTGGAGTCCCTGCACTGAGAACCTCTTAAACACAGGAGACAGAGAGGGAGAGAGAGGGAGCTGTAACACCAGAGACACCACAAGACGGTGAGAAGCAGTGGCAGAGAGACAGTGCAGCAGAACCAGGAGACCAGTGTGACAGTGTAGTGGGCTTCCCAGCCCACGGAGCCAGGGGGCTATGTGGGTGTTCCGACCCACAAAGCAAGAGAGCTGAGCGCCTTTGGGCCGAGGCTTGCTGGAGGAGTAGGGTGCCTCTGGTCACTTACTGGTGGGGCTGAAGAGCTCTGTAACAATTTAAAGCAGGGCAGGACCGAGGACCAGAGAGAGGGCTGACTGCGGGCACAGCCGAGAACTGGCTGTCTTGATCAGAGAGCTGTATCCTGAGTTATTCCTGACTCTGAATGGTAACTGTTACTTCCCTAATAAATCCCATAATCAGGAGCATTATCCGTGAGTTCTGTGTGGCCACTGCAACACATTATCAAACCCAGCAAAGAAGCAGAGTGCTGTGGGAAGGATGGATGGTGTCAGAACCGGTACAAAGGTTGGAGGGCAGAGCTGTGGCTGACCTCCACCCCACCATGATCAGCCTGGGGCTGATGCTGATGGTGACCCTCCTCCCCGACCCTGCCCCACTGCTTTATCCCAGAGGTGGGGGGATCAGAAATAGTGCACATCTGGTCTCCACCAGCCAAACCCCTGCAGTTCCCATCCTTTCCCACACTGAAAGATGTGCTCCTACGAAGGCTGAATGCGTTGCTTGTAACACATAAGCTCTCCTGTCAGTAGATGCATTTCAGGACAGACAAACCCCGGTAATCCCATAGTGTCCACCTAATAAAACAGGACAACCGGCAGCTGTATCAAATGACTTAAGCCCTCCTTGCTTCCTAGTTGGTATACACTTAAGAAGTATAAATAGGTGTTGTGAAATTAAGTAAAGGGCTACAAATCATAAGCTCTGTAAAGTCAAAACATTTCATACAACTATAACTAAATAAATGTGAAACATCTCCAAGCACACCAACACATGCGTCTGCACATCCACACACCGCACACACATCTGAGAAAGACTTCCCTGGACATTAAGCCTGCCTTCCTCAACATACACAGCAGAAATGACAGCTGTAGGGCACTAGTCATCTTCTGAACTACATGAAGAGAACCGGTTTTGCAGAAGGCTCTCCCTAGGCTTTCGTCCGGAATAAAATGAGTTCTGTTAAGGATCTTAAAAGTATTTCTGAATTCAACCTCTTCCCTTTATGGAAACCATGGTGCTGAGAAGTTAGAAAGAAATGCCGTGCAGGCACTCATGCACACGCCCTGTCAGGCGAGGGCAGCACTGGAGCAAGACAGGCCTGCTGACTCCCAGGGACTCGCTGCCCGCTAGCAGGCTGGCAGATCCATAAAGAAGGGCCAGTGTAGAGTGCCCCCATTTCAAATACTGTTTCTTTGCCCTTCACATTCTCAGTGTCTGTTCAGCGCCCAGTCCTTCCATTCTGGACGGGAAGTGGCTACGTTTTTAAATATTTTCAAACAGCTCTTCTACTCAGCAAGGGCTGCTCTGATCCCAACAGGGCCTCTACTCAGTCACCCTGGCCCACGTGCACGGCGTTACCTTTGACAAGCAGCTTGTCTCTCACAGACACCCTCCGGGTGGAGTCGGAAGCTGTGGCTGACGAGCGGGACCCTTTGAGACCGTCATCCCGCTTCAATTTGCTTGCCAGAGTTAGCATCACTGCTGCCTTTACCCTAAACACAGGAATAAAACTGCAGTCAAAGGGCATGTCCACACACTGACACTGAGGAAAAGGGGCAAGCTTACAACGTTTATTTTTCCACACATACAAGGTGAGTTAGTAAGACTGGATCATTCCGTAACAAATCTGGGTAAACTCTATTCCGTTCTCTATGGGGCAAATTTTTTAAAGTACAAATTGGAATTTAAAAAACAGAGTCATGAATCCAGCAACAGTCGCTGGGCATTCACTAGGTGCCAGGTGTGTGCCAGGCCCAGGATGCAATGGTGACAAAGCTCCACGGACTCATAGTCTAGGTGTCCCTGGAGTCTTGACCAGTGTGCCGCCACACTGAGGAGTCTGCACCACCCACCACTGTACCCCCGTGATCAGCCTACCCCCTGTAATCCACTCATCCTGCCGAGACTGAGGGGCACAGCAGCCTCTCGGGGCCAGCAGCACCGCATGCTTCACTTTCCCCCTTCCTTTGATAAAGGCTGTGGCAAATTAAAAAAAACAACCCACTGCCATGGAGTCCTTTCCAACTCATAGTGACCCTTTAAGACAGGGCAGAAGTGCCTTACAGGGTTTCCAAGGCAGTTGTACCTCTTGACCTGTGCAGACTGCCTTCTTTCTCCTGCAGGGCAGCTGGTGGGTTCAAATAGCTGACGTTCTGGCTGGCAGCTGAATGCTTTAGCCACGAATGAGTTCCTCAAATTTCAAATCGGGGGATGACTCTGACCCATTCCCACTAAATTTCATAGCTGTGGACCCTGAACAACGGAGGCCCAGAAAATGGCGTGTCCAAGGCCACTCAGCTGCCAGAAGCCACAGCAGAAACACCAGTGTCCCTCTTGGGGACGACGGGAACGCTTCTCTCTTGTGTATGATGATAGTTCAAGGTACAGACCCACATCAACATTGATCAAATTATGCTTCTTAAATGCATGCTGTTCAGCACACTTCAACTATACCTCAATAAAGTTGACAAAAATGTGAGAAAAATCCCAACACTAGTGTCCTTGTTGGGTGCTGTCTCCTCACAGATCTACACAGAGGACCAGACCATAAGCCAGAGACACTCACATCTTCAAAGCTTTACCCTGGACAAAGAGCTACCAGCTCTCCTGATGGGGTAACTTCACAAAGGAGAAGGGTGGAGGGAAGAGTTAGAAACATTGTAGGGGCTGTGGCCCACAGCTACCAGAGAAGACAGGGCTGTCTGAGAGCTAAGCTCTCTTGCTGTGGACCCACCCGGCACGATCTTGTCAGGAATCCTGTAAGCATATGTGGATCACAAAGCAGTGTTTGATTCCCTAGCCAAGTCCCACTGCCAGGCACCTGTTCTGAGCACCTCAGTCTGACCACATGGTCAGGTAGCCTGATGATGGGGTCAGCTGCAAGCACTGGTGTACCACATGAAGTCCACCAGTCTGCTTGGCTTTGATCCTCTGGCTAATCTTAGCAATGCAAATACAGCAAAAAATGAAAAAAAAAAACCAACAACAACAACAACATGGAGAACTGGGTTGTTGCTGTTAGGCACCAACAAGGCGGTTCTGATTCACAGCTACCCTACATACAACAGAACTAAATGCTGCCCCATCCCGTCTGGTCCTCACAATCCCTTCCATGTCTGAGACCACTGTTGCAGCCACTGTGTAAATCCATCTCGCTGAGGGCCCTTTTTTTTTGGCTGACCCTCCAGCAAGCATAATGTCCTTCTCCAGAACCAGTCCCTCCTGATAACTTGTCCAAAGTACTTCAGAGAAAGTCTCGTCATCCTCACTTCTATGGTTGTTGTTGTTGTTGTAATGTGCCGTCGGGTTGGACCCAACTCATAGTGACCCCTCCTTGTGTTTCTGAGGCGTTATCTCCTCAGAAGTAGATTGCCCAACCTTCCTTCTGAGGAGTCGCTGATGGGTTTGAACCGCCACCCTTCTGGTTAGCAGTCAAGTGCCTTAGGCACTACACTACCAGAGCTCCTTCACTTCTAAGGAGCATCCTGGATATACTTCTCCCAAGAGAGATCTGTTCCTTCTTCTAGCAGTCCATGGCAAATTCAATATTCTTCACCAACACCACAATTGAAAGGCATCAATTCTTTCTTATTCATCATCCAGCTTTCACATGCATATGAAGCAAATGAAAATATCATGGCTTGGGTCAGGCACACTTTACTCTTTAAAGTGACATCTTTGTTCTTTAATACTTTAAAGAGGTCTTTTGAAGCAGATTTGCCCAGTGCAATATATCACCTGATTTCTTGACTACTGCTTCCATGGGCACCGACTGTGAATCCAAGTAAAATGAAATCCTGCACAATTTCAATCTTTTCTCCTTTTATCATGATATCGCTTACTGGTCCAGTTGTGAGGATTTTATTTTATGTTGAGGTGTAATATATACTGAAGACTACATAGTCTTTCATCTTCATTAGTAAATGCTTCCAGTTCTCTTCCTCTCAGCAAGCGGTTTTACCGTCTGCATATCACAGGTTGTTAACAAGCTTCCTCCAATCCTAATGCCATGTTCTTCTTCATATAGTCCAGTCTCTTGGATTATTTGCTCAGCATACCGATTGAGCAACTATGGTGAAAGTATACAACCCTGATGCACATACTCCTTGATTTTAAACTACATGGCATCTCTTTGTTTTGTTCAAATGACAGCCTCTTGGTTTATACATGGGTTCCTCATGAGTACAATTAAGTGTTCTGGAATTCCCATTCTTCACCATGCTATCCATAATTTGTTATGATTCACACCATCAAATGCCTCTTCACAGTCGATAAAACACAGGTAAACATCTTTGTGGTATTCTTCATCTGACAGCAATGATATCCCTCATCCTACGCCCTCTCCTGAACCTGACCTGAATTTCTGGCAGTACTCTGTTGATGCACCACTCCAACCATTTATGAATTACCTTCATTGAAATTTTACTTGTGTGTGTCATGATATTGTTTGATAATTTCTGCATTCTATTGCATCACCTTTCCTTGGAATGGATACAAATATGGACCTCTTCCAGTTGGTTGGCTAGGTAGCTGTCTTCCAAATTTCTTGGCATTGACTAGTGAGCACTTGCAGCATTGCAACTGTTTGAAGAAACATCTCAGTTGGTATTCTGTCAATTACTAGAGCCTTGTTCTTCACTAACGTCTTCAGTGCAGCTTGGTCTTACTCCTTTAACACCACTGGTTCATGATCATATGCTACCTCTTGAAATTGTTGAATGTTGACCAATTCTTTCTGGTACAGTGACTTGTGTGTATTTCTTCAATCTCCTTTTGATTCTTCCTGCAACACTCAATATTTTGCCCATAGAATCCTTCATTATTGCAACTTGAGGCTTTATTTTTTTCTTCAGTTCTTTTAGCTTGAGAAATGCTGAATATGTTCTTCCCTTTTGTTTTTCTAACTACAGGTCTTTGCACATTTCATTATAATACCATACTGTCTTCTTGAGCTGCCCTTTGAAATCCTCGGTTCAGCTCTTTTACTTCATTATTTCTTCCAATCGTTTTAGCTACTCTCTGTTCAAGGGCAAGTTTCAGAGTCTCTTTTGACATCTATTTTGGTCTTTCCTTTTTTCCAAGTCTTTTTAATGACCTTTTGTTTTCTTCATGTATGTTCTTGATGTCATCCCACAACTTGTCTGGTCTTTGGTCATTAGTGTTCAGTGCATCAAATATAGTCTTGAGATGGTCTCTAAACTCAGGTTAGATATACTCAAGGTCATACTTTGGCTCTCATGGACTTTTTCTTTTCTTGGGCTTCAACTTGAACTTGCATGTGAGTAATTGTGATGGTCTGTTCTGCAGTCAGCCCCTGGCCTCATTCTGACTGACGATATTAAACTTTTCCATTGTTTCTTTCCATAAATGTAGTCGATTTGATCCCTGTATATTCCATCCAGTGAGTCCACATGTATAAACACACTGCCATTGAGTCAGATTCCAACTCACAGAAACTTTATAGGACAGAGTGGAACTGCTCCATGAGGTTTTGAGGCTGTAAATCTTTATATCCAATAGAGAAAGAATCCTTCTCCTGAGGAGCAAGTGGTGGTTTCAAATTGCCAAACTTTCAGTTAGCAGCCAAGCGCTTCATTACTGTGCAATCAGGGGTCCTCCACATGTACAGTCACAGTTATGTCACCGAAAAAAGGTTATCTACAATGAATAAGTCGTTGTTGTTGTTGTTATGTGCTGTTGAGTCAGACCCAACTCATAGCGACCCCTCCTTGGGTTTCCGAGGCAGTATCACTACCCATGTTCAGTGTTGCAAAATTCTGTAACAGGATCTTCCATGTCATTTCCATCACCTGGGCCATATTTTCCAACTACTGAAGATTCTTCTCTGTTTACAATATTCACATTCCAATCCCCAGTAATTATCAATGTATCTTGAATGCATGTTTGATCAATTTGCAGAGGCTGGTAAAAATCTCCAATTTCTTCATCTTTGGCATTAGTGGCTGGTGTGTAAATTTAAATAACAGTCATATTAACAGATCTTCCTTGTAGGCTTAGGGATATTATCCTATTACTGATAGCTTTGTACTTCAGGATAGATTTTGGAATGTTCTTTTTGATGATCTGATGCCTTTCCTCTTCAATTTGTCATTCCTGGCATAGTAGGTCATGTTGTTGCTGTTGTTGTTAGGTGCCGTCAAGTTGGTTTTGACTCATAGCGACCCTATGCAGAGCAGAATGAAACACTGCCTGGTGCTGCACCAGCCTCACAATCCTTGCTATACCTGAGGCCACTGTTGCAGTTACTGTGTCAATACATCTTGTTGAGGGCCCTCCCCTTTCTCACTGATCCTTCTCTTTACCAAGCATGACATCCTTCTCTAGGAACGGACCAAAGTAGACGAGATGAAGTCTGGCAGTTCTTGCTTCCAAGGAATGTTACGGCTGCACTTCTTGCAGGACAGTTTTGTTAGTTCTTTTAGCAGTCCACAACACTTCAGTATTCTTTGCCAACACCGCAATTCAAAAGCATCAACTCTTCTTCAGTCTTCCTTATTCACTGTCCAGCTTTCACACACATATGAGGCAACTGAAAACACCATGGCTTGGGTTAGGTCCACCTTAGTCTTCAAAGAGACATCCTTGCTCTTCAGTACTTTAAAAAAGTCTTTTGCAGCAGATCTGCCCAGTGTACTATGTCATCTGATTTCCTGACTGCTACTTCTATTGGTGTTGATAGTATAACCAAGTAATATGATATCTTTGACAACTTCAATCTTTTCTCCATTTATTGTGATGCTGCTCATTGGTCCAGTTGCGAGGATTTTTGTTTTCTTTATGTTGAGGTGTAATCCATACTGCAGACTGTAGTCTTTAATCTTCATCAGTAAGTGCTTCAGTCCTCTTCACTTTCAGGAAGCAAGGTTGTGTCATCTGCTTATTGCAGGTTGTTAATGAGTCTCCCTCCAAGCCTGATGCCACGTTCTTCTTCACATAGTCCAGCTTCTAGGATTATTTGCTCAGCATAGAGATTGAATAAGTATGGTGAAAGGATACAACCCTGACTCACTCCCTTCCTGATTTTAAACCATGCAGTATTCCCTTGTTCTGTCTGAACAACAGCCTCCTGGTCTAGGTACAGGTTCCTCATGAGCACAAGTGGCCAATTCTTTGACAAGTGGATAGCCCTTTCCTTCTTCCAAGTCTGTCTTAACCTGGAAGCTCTGCTGAAACCTATCCACCATGGGTGACCCTGCTGGTATTTGAAATACCAGTGGCACAGCCTCCAGCCTCACAGCAACATGTAACCACCACAGTGTGACAAACTGACAAATGAGTAGTGGCAGCAGATCATGATTGTACAATTCAAAATGGTTGATACCAGTCCATTTCAGCTCACTGAGGCCTAGGATATCAATCTTTATGTGTTCCATTTCATTTGTGATGACCTCCAATTTTCCTAGATTCATACTTTGAACATTCTATGCTTTGATTTTTAATGGAAGTTTGCAGCTGTTTCTTCTTTTTGAGTTGTGCTATATCAGCACATGAAGGTCCTGAAAGCTTCACTTTACCACGTCATTAAGGTTGACTCTACCTTGAGGTTGCAGTTTTTCCCCAGTTGTATTCTTAGTGCCTTCAACCTGAGGGGCACATCTTCCAGTACTGTATCAGACAACATACTGCTACTATTCATAAGATTTTCAGTGGCCATTTTTTTTTTTTTACTAGATGCCCAGGTCCTTCTTCCTAGTCTATCATGGTCTGGAAGCTCTGCTGAAACCTGTCTACCATGAGTGACCCTGCTGGTATATATGAAATTACAGTAGTATAGCTTTCAGCAACACAGCAACACCAGTCCCACGGGGAACACCAAGGGTCAGGGCACATGCCTCCACACAGCCTC